AGAGCCCAGACAAAAATACCCCCATTTATAGGACCGAAAATTACGTAAGACAATAGACATTTCTGACACCCTGGTTTTGGTTTTTTGGTTGGTTTTTTTGTTGGTTTTGTGGGGTTTTTTACAGGAATACAGTAACATAGTCCTGTGCACAACAAGGTACACTTTTACATTCAAAAGACTGCAGTTTTTAAAAGTATTCTATGAAATAAAGAATAATGAAAATCACTGTCATCAGAGCTACTACTTTTGTTATCATAGCTACAAAACTGAGGCTAAGGTATTTAACTCATAATTTAAGGTAAGTGTAAAACAACCTAATTACTAATATTATAAATATATGAAAGTTTCTAAGACTTTCTTAAAGGCAAAAAAACCCACAATGCTTTGGTTGCTTTGTTTGCTAAAACAAATATGACAGCACAACTTACTGTTATTTTTGGACACCACTGAAATACAAAAAGAACAAAAAGCCAACTTGCTATTAATTGGAAATAATACATTTAATTTTCAGAAAAAAGGAATAATAGAAAACATACGTGGCTCTTCATCTCTGGTTGATCTTTCTTGGTTTTAAATAATTGAAAACTTCTTGTAATTTCCACTTGTAACATTAGATCCTTAAATGTCTGGCTTACACTCTAGCATGAGCTCTGATGGCTGCCAACTTGGAGACAAACTACTTTATACCAGACCTCCCTAAGTTGCTAGAAAAATTAGTTCTGTCTCACTTTGCTGACAGGAAAAATAGTCCTGGTTTTTAATGTATTATTTTACTTAATTCTTGTCACTTTTGCTAGTTACATGACATTTAGTGAAAGGGAAAAATAAAATCACATTTGAAAGTTCAGAGGTTAGAACTTCTAGATCTTATTTTCATGTTTAAAAGGATGGGATGGTGAAAAACATCCTTTGTTTTGTTTACACCAAGGGAAGTGAATTGCAAGGAACTGTAGATGAGACATGACCTCTTCTTACCAGACTTCCAAGATATGCGTCTGCTGAAAACAGACAGAAATCACTTCAGATTTTGTTAATGTTGTTCTTGAATTATGGAAATTAAATGATGGGCTTTAAGCCTTTAATACTTAGTAGTTACTAACTTGATTAAAAAAAAAAAGAAGGAGGAAGAGGATTTAGATGTAATAATTTTATAAACAGACCAAAAATCTCCCATCTAAGGTGCTTGCTGGAAGAGATCCTGCAGTTCTTCCCAACCAAGATGCCCTCTCAGGACTCTTAAAAACAACTTAAGAACAAAGCCAACAACAACAAAAAGAACATCTGAATAGATAAGATTATCATACATTAAGCAATCAAGCATTTACAGGATACCCGATACACATTACTACACAGCAAGATAATTGTTTCAACCAATAGCTAAAATCACTGTCAAGTCTGCCCTCATATGATTGTGCATTTTGTCTTGCTCTAACTTGCTGTAGCCAAGTACCAGCTAGGTTTCCTAACTGGAAGAAAGAAGGTAGCCAGTAGACGTACATGTGAAGGAAAGACACACTATCTAGTCATCACTATTTGTGACTTTTTAATTTTATAACCTTTTTTTTTTCAAATTCATCCTCCAGCAAAATTACTGTGAAGGACAGATGCACTGTAGAAGTACAGACGTTCTGCTGGAGAGTTTTGTACCAGTGAGTCATTGAACATATCTGGGCATTTTGGAGGAGCAGAGATTCACTAATGCCATGTCTTGTTTTCCAATAACGCCATAAAAGCACTGAGCCAGAAAGAAAAACACTGATAATTTAAGTGAGTCTACTCAAAACCACTGCCATGAAGTCCAACAGCAGGCTATGCCTACTGCTAGTACACGAAGAAGCAACGCTTCTTTGTAACAGCAAGCACATCAAATGCAGCAAAACAGAAGTATCTGGTACAACTTGTCAGGGTTAGAAGAGTCAAGAGACAGTGCAGTTTGTTGCCTTCATGCCCCACCAAATTTGCTTTTCCATACAAATTATTATACAAAGTTACAGAAGACTGTCTATGGTATTAAAATAGAATGTGTAAGTGCACCAACATGGAATGAAACTCTCTGGCTCCTGCAGCTATAAAAGAGTGCTTTTACAAAGTACAACAATTACTCCAACTAAGCTGTATTTCTGAAAGAAGTAGTTAAAACAGTTATTAATTTACCCACTTCCCCACTGACAAGGTGCAATATTATGGGTGCACCATTAGTATCTCCTGTTACTGGCCCCTGCTGGAGACCAGACCTTGGGCTAGGTGGCTCCTTCGTTTGACTGGTTATTTCTGTTCATTTTCTTTTTGCTCTCAGCTGTCAAATTTTTCACACACTTTATAAACTTGATAAACGCTTGTGCTTCCGTCACCAGTAACATTAGTACATCCAGCCTCATTCAACTTAAGCTACTGTCCTTAGTGCATTTCATATGCCTACAGTGTACAAGCCACACAGTGAATCACACTTAAAAAAAAATCTGCACAAATACATCATATGTCTAAACTTTACCCTTTCAGCTTGGTGCCTGGAAATTATATCGTATGTGCCAGTCTTAAATTGCATTGAAGACAAGCACTTAATTTTTTATGCTGCAAATTTTATTATAAAATTAATATGATATCTCATTATGGGAGAGGCTTCTCTCTTTATCCACTCTCAGATGCATATATGTCTACTTTTATAACTTTTGTATGACACTCAAAATTTTCTTAAGTAGAACCAAATCATGGGTCATCTACCACAACCAGCTGCGGCTCCTCGAATGCTTCCATCAGCACTGCCTCCATGCAATCCTAAACATCCACTGGACTGACTACGTGACTAATGTCACTGTCCTTGATCAGGCAGGGGTCACCAGTATTGAGGCCATGCTGCTGAGGACGCAGTTGCACTGGGCAGGGCACGTCTCCAGGATGGAGGATCACCGCCTCACTAAGATCGTGCTCCATGGTGAACTTGCCAACGGCTGTCGCAACAGAGGAGCCCCAGAGAGGAGATACAAGGACTCCCTGAAACAATACCTCAGTTTTGGCCATATTGACTACCGTCAGTGGTCTGCCCTGGCCTCCAATCGGGAGACATGGAGATACACTATTCATGACATTGCTGTCTCCTTTGAGAACGCACGTAGAATCAGTCTTGAGGAGAAAAGACAACGCAGAAAGAATCGCGCCTTCCCAATACCGTCTAAGGAGACTTTCTGCTGTGCCCTTTGCAACCAGACTTGCCTATCCCACATAGGCCTTTTTAGCCATCAGCACGCTTGCAGCATGCATGGGTAGTGTCCTTCCCTTATCTTCATTCACAAAGTCTAGCCATGATGATGATGATGAAAAACTGGCTCTCCTGTTTGATGCACAGACAGTTACCTTGGTGGAAAATTCTGTTTCCAGAGCATCTTTCTTTCTTCTCTTTCTTTATAAATTCATATCTTGCTGAATATCATTATGCTGTTCTTTACTGCACACCCATGTTCAGAAGCTTCCTGCCACTTCCAGCCAGACAGGTTTTCCTTGTTCTCCATCACAGTTGGTCAATTCAAACTACAAAACATGGGTTCGTTGGGTCCTGCCATACTGCTTGAAAGGATGAGAAGCCACAGAAGCTGGATCAAACTTAGGTGCAAAAGACTACAGTATCTCCTTAACTTATTCTGTTAGCTACTTGAAAATGAATCTAAACATGTTCAAATGTTTATGAAGAGCAATTTCATTTTAAATGTTTAAGGTCTGCAAGTATTCCTCAGGCACATCATTGCAAAGCACTTTTGCAAAAGCCATCTCCATTGGCCATTAGGTATACAGCCTCCTATGTGCCAAATCTGACTTTGTATTTTTCTTTACATATTTACATATATTTACCTCGTATAAACACTAGTTTTGATTATCCAGTTTCTAACCTGTTTTAATATAATTCTTTGTTGAATTTAGTAGACTGTCTTACAAATTAATAACATTTCTTTACAATTACAAAGTACCTTCCAGCTCCTTGTTTCTAATATTTTTGTTCTTTTTTGATACAATGTTGTAGTTCCATTACAGCTAATATAACTAATGATTCAAAAAACCAAAACAAAAAACCCCAATCAAAAGCAAAAAAAAACCCTTAGACAAATCAATTCCCACACTCCAGGGAAGAAAGACCATTTTCCACCTAGTGTATTTTCCCTGCACCACTGATACCTTCATCACCAACACTAATACTAACTGGCTAAACAACAGGGTTTCTAAAATTGCATAATCTAGAAGGATTAATAGAGAGCATCAGTCCACCATTTAGTGGCCGCCCAGCCCTAAACCACGATACTATATTAATAGGAATGCAATATTAGTACCATATTAAAGTTTAATTTTAACATAATTTCATTTAGACACAGAAAAAGAAAACACAATTAAGTGTCCAAAATTTAAACCATTTATTTCCAATATATATTAATGAAACACTTCTAAATGGCAGTACTTCCATTAATTAGTTCCATTATCCAGGAAGTCTACAAGTATTTATAGGAGAAATTAACAAAGCATATCTGTTATCTTTTAAAAATACAAAAACCCCTGTATACAAAATCTCTTCATTTTTTAGTTATATTACTGCCTTCTTTATCAACAGATATGTTTTACAGACTTCTGTGTAATTAAAAACATGAAGACCACTTAGTCTCAGCAATAAACTGCTGCAGAAGTGTTTTTCTTATAAATACAACCATAATTATGACTTTTTGCAGCCATCTTCAGCACTTCTGTTAAGAGACAGCATGATATATAACAAACCACACCAAAATCATAAATTCCTTACTTACGTGTTTTCAAGGTGTAGTTTTGCAATAATAGTATAAAACAATATTTGTTGTGACAGAATAAAAGAGTGATTATTACTCTAGTTACTTCAAAACTCACTACCATAATTCAGTGACATTTTGTGAATTTTTAATTGGACAGGAATCAGAGCAGACTGTAGTAACTGTAATAGATGTCGCCAGTTAGAAGTACTGAGACTAAAGTAAAGTCTGAGTAAAAACAAAGTTCATTTATTTGAATTTCTGCTTTTTCCTTGCCTGAAACTCTTCAGTTTTGTTTTTGACAGATTTTATTAGCACTGATAAGGCAGGACCTATGGCTTTCTTGGCAATGTCTCCTTTCTTTGCCATCTTGTTCTCCTGCACCCTTCTTGTCTCCTTAAGATCTTGCTCCTTTTCTTCTCTTCGGCGAGCTTTCTCTTCCAAGATCTTTTCTACTGCTTTTGTCTTCTTGAAATTTGGATCTGAAGGATCCAAATTAAACAGGGGAGAAGTAAACATGGCTTGGAATCTTGTATCAGCAACATTTACCTGAAAACATAAAAGGAGTATTTGTTTTAGGTAACATTTACCCATGGTAGCAAAGATTTTAAACACAATAAAATATGAGCTGGTTAAGGAGTCATAGTTCATGAGATTGTTCACCATTCCTATAACTGCTTCAGCCACAGAATCCCAGTAAGTGTCGGGTAGAGAGCCAGAAGATACTATTGGTAAAACAGGCAACTGAATGCTTGTACAAGTCCTGCGTATGCCTCTGTCGGCAGACCAAGGAAAGCTTTCTTGTTCAGAACTGACCAGGACGAAAGCAGCAGTGGATAACTATCAGAACAAACACACCAATGAGTATTTTAGGCAATGAGTAGTATAAGGCATTGCATAAACTGTATCTTGTTATTTTACACAGAGTTTGAACCTGTTCCCCTTCAACACTTATCAGAATATTTACTTTTTGAAAACAACCTGTACTCCCTAAAAAGGTAGATCTAGTTTTTCTCCTTCAAACAGAGTAAGGGAGAAGAAGGATACGAAACCACCAAATTGATACTACCAAAGGTTCTAGCTGAGCCTCAAAATCAAGAGTACACCATTACCTGGAAGTCATCTTCTAATAATTCTTTCTTTTTCATTAAGAGTTTCTTTTTCTTCCTGCTCAAATTCTGTTGTTCCACAATCTTCCTATAATTAAAGTGTTTTCTGGCATCATCCTCATCATCCATCATAAGTAGGGCCATTTCAGCCTGTTACAAAAATAAGAAAGTCCACGTACATTATGAAATTAAGTTTTCTACAAAAAATATAGCAGCCCATTAATAGCATCTGTATGAGTATATATATATATATATGAGTTAATATAGAGTTGTCAGGGCAGTATTATTTCATCCATAATAATGTTCTTTTAATATTTTGAGGGGTAATATTAAATATGATAATTAATTTTCTTTTATATTTCCAAATGCAAATACCCACATTAAACTTTCAAATGTACTAATAATCTAATCTGAAAATTGTACCCTGCAACTTAGAAATCACTAACAGATACAATTCTATATAGATATTTATATAGCAAAATAAAAATTAACATGTATGAATTTAATACATTTATCTAGTTAACTTGTTCTGAGAAAGAATGAAAAGCAAACATGCAACAGCAAAAAATTCAATCTTCAAGGTTAAAAGTCTACAGGATAAGGTAGAGCATACCAATATTTCATACTATGCTTTTAAAAGTAAATGGTCAGCACCACCCAACACGCAAACATACTGAGATAGCTTTAAAGCTAGAGGGACTATCAGCTCAACCAGTATAGCTTCTGTGCCTTTACATTTCAGTGTTACCTAACCCTGTTGAGCTGTGTGCAACTATAATCTTCCAGAAAGTTATCCTGGCATAATCTTAAAACATCAAGGCATGAACCATCTACCACTCTTCTTGTGTAGTTTTTAGAGTTTTATTCTGTAGCTGTCCTGTGGCATTCAGTAGTTCCACTCACAAACACGTCGCAAATATCTGTAGAATTCTGCAAAGCAACATTTAAAATTCCTAACATTTTAAACCCCTTTACCTTCTGTTTTTCAACTTCATCTTCTGAGGTACTTTCAACTAATTCCGGCTTCTTCTTTAAACCTAAGTATAAATATAGGACATGCACACATTTATTCAAGCTTATGCATTATGGCATAATTTACCTATGAACAGAACCTCAGAGTGCATCTCATTTTCTTGTAATCAGTATTTAAATGTTAGATGTGGGAAAAGGCTGACAAGTTAAGATAAACCAGCTAGACTTAAAGCAATAAAAAGCTGAATATTTGTTCAATTTAAGGAGGCAGCGATATTCAAATGGCATAAAGAAGTCAACAAAAAAAGAACAGTTTAAAAAAATTGTTTTACTGTCTTTTTCAAAGAGCAGTATAGAGAAGTATCACAACAGTGCAGGAAAACATATGAAAGTACTCCATTCCGAGGGTGTTTATAGAGAAATTTGTTTATATACTCATAAATGTAATTGAAGTGTGCTGCAGTTCTCAAATCGTTCATTCTTTCTACTTCAGTAGACACTGCAGTAAATACTTCAAAATAAATAGCAAATATGCATCTCTTCTCTCTATCCAGAATACGAGTCTGCAGCTGAATAAGAGTTTATCAGAAAAAAACAACCAAACAACAAAACAAAACAAAGTTTTTAAAATTTATGTGCAAGGCTAGAAGAACATACTGTGCTGTTAACCATGCTAGTACAAAAAAACCTTGCAAAAAAGACCTGAACAGAATCACGGGAATGAAAATACGATTGACTGTTCAGAATGAATATTCTTCTGATGAAGCTCTCTTATGCTCTTAGAATTTAATTTAGATACACAGTGCTGATTAGACACATAATGAATAGGAACAGCACAAGACATTATTCAAATGTAACTTTTAATGAAAGCAGACCCATTTATAAATCCTACAAAATCAAATTATTCGCTTTGGAATGCCTGTAGACCTCAATCAAGAAGGAGCAGGAAAAGCAGAAGGTCTCCTGAACTGAACCACATACTTTGACCTTTGATCTTGGAATTACATTCCCAGGCAATTTATTACAGTCCAAGATACTTGGCTCCATTTTGTTAAGCCAGATTTGTAGTCAGACTAGAAATACAAACATGCCAGAAAAATGTCAAGTTATATCACTAAGTATACTCTGGAACAGGACACATTCTTCAAGAACATTTTTTCTCCCTTGACTATTCTCTTGCCTATTTCTAAATGGATTCCAAGCTGGAATTCTAGAAGAAACTAACTACCACCACTAAAAAATAAAATATCCGGATGCACAATGTTATCAGCTCAAGAACTGAACTGTTGATTTAGTAGTTTGAGAAAAGTTGCAAGAAAATCAGATTCAGATATAATATTCTTACCTAACCTACAAAGTTTATGTTAATGTGTAGAAAGGAGAAATAAATGTCTTATCTAAGACTTCAACAACTATGAAATCTTTTGTATTTTCCCAGAACTGGCTAAGCTACAGAAAAAGAAATAGGGCACAGAGAAACAAACTGGAGACAATTATTCTAGCAGTTAAATCAGTAAATCTGTCATCCTTTCCACCCATCCCCCAAATAAGCACCCCTCAAGTCATCTTCCTTCATCTTTCACTACATGTAGAATCACAGAAGTGAAGACAGCTTACCTTCATGCCTTCAGAAACACCTCTTGCTACAGATGGTAGTGAACCAGGAACTAGTACAAAACTATTTATTTCTTATTATGACCTTATGCAGCTAATAAGAACAGCTTGGTACCTGAAATCACTCTGAGCACTAAAAACTGCATCATGTTGAAAATAATTTGGTTTCCAAATTCACAAATATGTTAATTTTCTTTTCCTGACATAGTCCCTCTCCCCACATACATTCTGGAACTCATGTGCCCTCATCCTTTTGCTCACATACGAATGTAAAACCTATGATAAGAGTCCTCCCCAATTGACAGCAAACCCTTAGATTTTACTTACTACCTAATTCCCACTGCCATCTTGTATTCAGATATGGTCCACCCTACAGCAGCCAATACTTGTCTTCAATGCTATGCAGAACTGATAGCTGCCACCAGCCAGTGAGAAAAGCTTCTAGTCTCTGCTGCAATCTCACCTCTTTCTGAGGTCAAGAATTTTGTTTGCAACATTCATTTTGTACATCAACAACTTTCCAGTGCTAACAGTAATCGGCTAATCATAATTTTGAGACTTCAGAGACCGACCTCTCATCTCTCTTACTCAAAAGCTTTAAAGTCAATCTCAAAAGCCTTGCAAAGACACACAGTAAATGAAACAGTAATACAGCTAAGACGTTTATCTTCCAAGTACAGGTGTTACAACTATACTCAGATTTTGCTTACATACCCATGGTCGTACTGCTACCTTCCAGCATTACAAAGCCATCAATTCCTACATATATCATAAATTAGATCATGAGGAACCATCTAAACGGTTTGGCACATACAGCAGTTGTAATGTGTAATGGCATGTAGCCCTTTACCTCAAAGTAGTATCAATAGAAACTATGTTTAGTAGTCTGAAGAATTCTGAAACTATTCCGTGATCTCCAAAAATATTACTAAGCAACTACACTATTCAGCCATTAATCTTCCAACAGTTTAAGCTACAAAAGTCATTCTGCCTTACATGAGACAGACCCCACAGAAGACCCTGTAGAAACAGATGCAGTAAGACTGAAATTGGCCAAGCCAAATTAAAGATTTACAACACTTTTTGAAACAACATAAAACAAAAGTGACAAGGGATTTTTTTGTCTTAACAATATCAAACTAGAATCAAGCTTCCAAAATGTGACATCAGAGCTCATCTATAGGCAGCATTTCACATTTTAGCCCACAGTACTACTGAAAAACTACACAGGGATCATGCGCATATGAAGACTTTGTGCAAAGCAAGCACTGTCATCAATTTCAAGAGCGCTAATTTGCACACATTTGCACCCTGCACAGGTACTCTTCAAGCATAGAAGGCACAAAGAATTTGCACTACCTTGCCTGTCTCCAGATGAACCTTCCACAGTGTAAGAATGACTACCTTCTTTACAAAGTTTTCAGGAACAAAGACAAACCTGATGAACATACTCTTGAGTACACTTCCCATAATTTCCAGTTTTCCTTTCACAGCACTCAAATTTCTTAGGCCCTTTGTCTAACAGCTCCTTGCACTCTTGCTTCCTTTTTGCCTCAGTTTGTCAAAAACTAACTTATACAAGACCCATACACATGACAGTCAAAAAGTGAATCCAGCATGGGAGCAAATGCAGCACTGCAAAACAGCACTACCACACCTACATGGTTTCTGCTCTGGTCCACCAGAGCCTGCAAAGACATCCTGTCATATGCTTTTTCAGCATAATCTAAGATCATATAACAGTCAGTGTAAGGGAGGAATTTCATTCTTCCAGGGAAATTGTGGAAGGCTTATGAAAAATTATTATCATTCAAGTTATGGCTGCCTTTATCCTAAATACAAAGTTGGCAGAGTTACAGCCTCATTCAAAGAAGATTATAACCCACTTTCCCCAACTGGATAAGCTAGCTGTGCTAAAAGACAACCCCAGCTATGAGACAGAGGCTATTCTGGGTAAACCTGGTGAAAACCAGACAAAGTTGTGCTGTGTAATCATCGTTAAAATGTCAACTGGCTTTCAGTCAGCCCATGTACTCTCCCTTTAAAACTTCTCCAGGGCCAACTACATTCAGTTTTCCTCCTCTTCCTTAGTAGCTTATCAGTAATCTTGTAGACAATAGCTTCACTTCCTTAATCTTTAAATCTATTTTACTATCCCCAAAGACTCCATGCACACTAAAAGCCTATCCACTATATTATGGACAAGAAGGTCTAAGGATCTGTAGATATGATCGTTCTCTGCTGAGCCTCTCCATGACACAATGAATATCTTATATAATGCAGAAGATAACTTTTTTTTTCCAGACATTTCACATAGTGCATTGAAACATCAAACACTAGCACGACAGTACCTACACAGTCTTCCTAGAAAATAAAGTGGTGGAAGGAATGGCATATTACAATGAGTTTAGAAATAACCTACACAGAGCTCACCAGGAAAGCACGGCAGAAAACAGCATTGCATGACACCTTAAATTGTGTTTATTTTCTATAAAACATGGATAGTACTCGCCCTACTGTTCTGTACTTCAGATTATTAAGACAGATAGATAAGCATATTAAGATATGAAGAAATCCAGCTTTTGTTTCTTAATTATTTACTTTATCCTAATATAAACTTCAAACAATCAAGATAGAAGCCTGTTCTTGCTGGTATCAAAAGTAATTTACTTTTTTTTAAAAGGAACTTGGATCTGCACTGCTAAAAAACAACCAACCAACCCCACAACCAAAACAACAGACTGGTGATATCTGTATGTCTGTTGCTACCTTCTTTTTGTTTGTCTTCATGCTACCTTTTTTTCCCCTGCCTTCTTTTCTTCTTTTAATATACAATAGTAGGAGTCACCTTTAGGTTTTGGCTCCTGAAAGCATGGAAAGCCAGGAACCCCCAGTTACTGATTATCCCTACCTTGAAATTTTAACCAGCAAAATCATACTCAAAATAAATTTGTTGTTATCCCAGGGAAAGTTAAGTTAAACATCAGACTAATAAGCTTGTAAGAAAGGTATCCTAAAAATCTAAACTGGACAAGTTATTTCGTAAAAATATTACATTTCACTAATTAGGTTTCTAGGCAGTCAGAGTACACTAGCAAAAATGTGTATTGGACTAAGAGAAAAGAAAATAGATTTCCTCTGAAAGACAATTTTGTTTATGATGCAAAAACATTTGACATTTACGTAATTGACTCAGACTTCAAAGAGACCCATACATATCTGACTCCTCCTCTGTAAAACAAAACAGGCTTGAAAGGCAATGAAGTTCTTTTCTCTGGAATATTTAGGGGAGCAGATGGTCAGCTTGTTTCTAACAGCCATCCCCAGAAATTGGCTACATAATCATCTCTGATGAAAGCTCAGAGAACAATGTTTCCCACTATTCCACATATCCCAGTATGCATCAGTTTACAAAAACAGCACCCACAGTTTTAGGTAAATGACACCTTTTTTATTTCTGCATTTCTTAATCTCTGCATTTACTCTAGCCTGACTTTGTTTCTAAAGCTCATTATTTAAAGAAAGGGCAGATTTATTCCAGAAGTCACCTGTCTTGACCCACCTGTTTTCTCAAGTTCTTCAGCAAAATATGGGTCATTGAGGTCAACATCAGATGGAAGTTCATCTTCACTCTGTTCCTGCTCAGCAGTAGCCTGTAACAAAGCACAAACATTTAAATCCACATATAAACTACTACTTAAATTTCACTGGAATTAGATGTTAATTCTGTTAGTAACTATGAAGATGAAAACTGAAATACCATTTACTGAACATCATAAAATTAAAATACCCTAAAGATTATTAGTAAAGACAAATCAATAATTTAAAATGTTTCACAGATTGAAAGCTTTTTCTGTACCTAAAGAAGGGTTATTTACATATTCCAAGGATCTTTATTAGATGTATCCACAAAGTGTGATGCATTAGCTAACCATACAAAAAAATTACAGGAACACAGCATTATGTCTTTACTTTATGTTCCACAAAAACTCTACTTGGGGAAAAAACTTGAGCAAGGAGCTTCATTTTGTGCTCTGAAATTCAAAAAGACTAAGTTTGGATTTAGAAGAACAAATTTATTACTGAAAGTATTGTGTCATACAACTTGCCCCTTGACTTAATTTATCAGACTGAGCAAGAATATTATGCTAGCATAAGTTGCTCTACTACCAAACAGTGCTACTGTAAAGAGCACTCGTTTTCTTTATGGTTTAAGAAGCTACTCGTCCAATGCCAGTTAAAACTAACTGGAATACGCAGCATAACTCAAGATGTAAAGGTCACTCTTAACAACATTTTTCTGCAATATGAATTATATTCAGAGTAATTTAAGAATTTAGGGAAGCCAGACTCTGTATGCCACATGCTTTTTTTTCTAGCACGTTCATAAATATTTCATTTATCTATTTCTGCATATAACTGCCACAGGAGTCAGTTACCGCATGCTTTCTGTGCACAGAAAGATGAAGCAACAGCAATTTTCATATTACTACAGGACCATTTTGTTATTCATATGCGGAACTATTTACCAAATTTGCTATTGCATTTTGAAATTTGAATAGGTCTTTGTGGCTATTATTTCTTCACTGTAACAGCTTTGGAAACAAGTCTGTATTATTTTAGGCCAAAAGTTTTCAAAACTACAATTATTATTATCATAACTTTGAACTGATATGCATACTGTAGCAAAAAGACCTTTCCTAATGCATTCAAAAATGTAAACTAAAGCCCAACTGTTATTATGACTCATTTATCTTTAAAGCAACACAAGTAGATAAACAAGATTCCGTGTAAGCATATGTATTATCCTGAATATCCTTTTGCTCTGTAAGTTTGATGGGGCACTCTTGGTCTTTCCACATGAGTGACCACTGCACATTCTAACCTTAAAATAGCACTGGAAGCTATACAGTTTTTACTTAGTTTATCCAAAACAAATGATAACAATAACTTAAGAAAACAAACAGCAACTTTCACCCAAGGGGCCAATGCAAACATTACTTTTCTCTTCTTTTTAAGAATTCTTTTTTCTTTCTTCCTCTCTAGATATTTTTGCCATGGAGTTAGGTTATCCTTTCCTTCCAACCTGTTTTTTACCATTTCTTCAGCAGTTTCTTTGAGGCCTGGAACAAAAGATAGTAAGTTAAAGAAATGAGATTTTTTTTTTTTAAATAAGAATTTATTTTAAAGTCAACTGTTTTCTCCTTTGCAAAGAATAATCTGGTTTTTCTTTAAGCAGTCTGTGAAAACAACATTAATATTGCTTAAAACAATATCTGCATAAATAAGATCACTTTACAGGATATGTTTTTCCAAATAAAACATTCAGTCAGTAAAAAATTGTACGAGTGCCAGAAGAAGAGCTTGCTTGTGACATCTGTGCTTCTCAGCTCTCTCGCTATTCCTCAGAAAGGTCTCCTCTCCGGACATTAGACTGTGCAATCTACAGATGCCACTTTTTAAGGATGAGAGTAACACAATAAAAATAACAACAGACATCACAGAATCACACAGAATCACAGA